GAATTAACCCTGCAGTCCCCCAGGGCAGCTGAGGGTGCTCAGAACTGGAGCACCTCCTGGGGTCATACAGGCTGGGGGCTGGGAGCCTTCCCCTCACCCAGCAGGCATCCTGAGGACGCAGGTCCGGGATCTCAATGTGGGGATCTCAGCCGCTCAGCAAGGCTTCTCAGTATGCAGGAAGAGAGGGCGTCCACAACCAAGGTCCCTCTCACCTTGCAACTTTGCCCTACACCTGCGAGGAAGGGGCCAGGGCTCCTGGGAGGGCAGACCTGGTTCGGGGGTCCCGTGGTGGCCAGCTGACTTTGGGCCCTATATTCCTTCAGGGTCCTTCTCCAGCCGGAGGGGATGGGGTGTTGCTGATTCTGGGTAGGAGAACAGGAAATGGTGGGGGCTCCTAGGCTAGGCTGCAGACCCCTCTGTGAAGACATCCTCTCTCCCCTGGTGCCCTGCCAGGGAAGAGGTCACTTGGGACTGGGGCCAGGGAGGAGGTACATGAGCAGAGAGTGAAACCAACCTCCTACTCAGCTCCGGGAGTGTGGGCAGAGAGGGTCCACCTCACCCCATCCTGCCCAGGACTCTGCAGCCTCCTGCCAGCCCCTCTCCTCTCATAGCAGCCCTGGCCTGGCATGGAATTGGCAGAAGTCAGAGACTCAACTCTCAGACAACGACAGGTGCAGGCATTAGGGCAGACTTGGTGGAGCCAGCTCCGGGCTTGATGTGAGCATGCCTTTCCCTGCACAATGGCTTCCGTGGCTCCCCGTGGCCCTTGGCTGAAGTTCTAGCTCGCTAGCTGTCAGAGTTGCCTTCAGTGATCTGACCGCCTGGCAGCCCCCTAGTCCTTGCCCTTTATGCTCTGCAAAGCCAAAGTTCTCAGTACTGAGTCTCCGGAGGTGTTGAGAAGTGAGTTGCCTATAGGAGTTTCTACCAGCTCCTGGGTGTAGATTGCACCTGTCCATACACATCCCCCTCTGACAAGATTGCCACCTCCACAGACCCACTTCCTGGCAACTTGTAACCCCAAAAGGCTGAGCTCTAGGTCACCTCACCTGCTAAGGAGACACTTGTTCCTCCAGCCACGTCATCTACGCCCCAGGCACAGCCCTGGCACTGGCCTGTCCCCTACTCTCCTTGAACAGCAAGAATGTCCTCCCCACTGGACACTGGTCAGGAGGTCAGTGTCCTATAAGGACTGGACACAGCAGCCTACGTCATCATCAGTAAATATTGGATGGATGGGGTCTGGCCTGAGGGGCAGTTGGGAAAGTCTGAGGGTGGGGGCACTGTAGTGGCCCAGTGGCTCAGAGAGATGGCCTGTGCCTGCCTTTGCCCACCCTCACAATACCAATGCAAGGCAGGTGTGTTTGTCACTCCACTCCCCAGGTAGGGAAACAGAGGCACAGAAGAGTTTGGCCCACAGCCAACAGACTTCCCTTGGATCCCCATCTGGCAGGGCTGAGACTGAACCTCCAGGTCCCCCAAAGTCATGGTGTGCAGAGATATCTCTGTTCATGCCCCAGGGGTCTGCTCGCCACATGGCTTCCTGGGGGTGGGGGTGGGGGGCAGGACCCTGGGCTGTCAGCCAGCCAATTGAAGATCAGTCAGCTGCCACGAAGAAGGTAATGTGGGGGCAGCTTATCTGGGAAGAAGGGATCAGGAGAGGGGGCACACATAGGGGCTCAGACACCCACTTCATTTGTTTGGCTGGATGGGGGACAACCTTAGGTGAAGGCCCCTGTCCCCCATGAAGACACCAAGGGCCACATCCAGAAGATGGGGTCTGGGGTCCCATGGAAAGTGTGGAGTGAGGCTATGCACACTCATTCTGGGGGACAGTGGACAGGTGGACAGCCAGACCTTGGAGGCTGAGACACACCAGGGAGAAGCTGAGGGGACGGGGATTGTTGGAATCCGGGGGGACCCTTGGAAACTGGTGCCTGTCTAACTGAGGGGGACGAGGGTTTTGACTCAATTGCTCATATGGGCCATCACCAAAAGCTAAGCAGAGACAGGTCGTGGTAGGATAGTCCCTAGGTGGGGGTCTGTAGGGTCACAGGTGGGGGATTACTTCCTCCCCTGTTGCCCCCCATGCTTTTGGTGTGGGTTAGTGGCAGCTGGACATCTGGGTGGCAACTCCGTGGCCCAGAATACACACCAGCCTCCTGGACTAAGGGGTGGCCCCATCTCTACTCTTGAGGTATATGGGACAGCCCCTTTTCCAAGCCCTCTCCTCTGTCCCCATCATTACCCCAAAGACCTGTGTGATCTGGGCCCCACCCCCCCAGCCCCCATCCTTGCTAGTCTCCAGCCTCTGCCTGTGTTCACTGTTGGAGGATCTTTTCCCTTTCAGTTTCTGCATTTGGAAGCAAGGTGAGAGCCTCCTCCAGGGTCCACTGTCCAGCATGTCTTATCAGCAGGAGGGTCAATTTACCCATTAACTCATGAGACATGGTATCTCCTGAGCCCCTCCATGGGCAGGTCTTGCGACTTGGTGCATGTGACTTAAATTGTCCTCCATGCCACCCTGTCTCCTCTGGTTGACTTCAGAGTGGTATGTGGTCCAGGTTAGGTGCCCCTTCCTGAATCTCACTGTGGACCCAGGCTTCTTCCCAACCCAAGATGGGGGAGAAGTTTCAGGTACCACATCTGAGTGTCAGACTCTGTAGGGCTGTGGGCTGTCTATGAGAGGCGGTGGAAAACCCAGGATGTCTGGGTCCAGGAGAGGGCAGCATTGTTGTTGAAGGGTCCTGGCAGGTTTCAGGAAGAGAATTGCTTTTCATGTCAAGGGTGGAGGGCAGAGGGGCCTGGGGCACCCCAGGGATCTGAAGAGGAACTCAGCCATGGGATCCGAGGTGACAGCGTTATCTTGAGCAGGAAGAGAATATCCACATTAACCCAGTTTATGCTGTGGCTGGGCATCTAGTGCTTCCAGACTGATTTTCTCTGGCTGGATTTGATGATTTCCTGATTTCTGTGGTTGACATGGTAGCCAGGCTGTGCTGAGAGTCTGAGAGCAGGAGGGAGCATCCCGTCCTGGTGTGTGTGTGTGTGTGTGTGTGTGTGTGTGTGTGTGTGTGTGTGTGTGTAGTGGGGGGTGGGGCGGAGTCAGGCTGTTGGATTTAGAAAACAAAACCCAAAAACCAACCCACAAGAGATTGGTTACATTGAATTTCAGATAAACAATAAAAATACCTGTTTAGCATAAGTCTGTTCTGTGGAATCATTGGGACATACTTACTATGCTAAGAAGTGTCTATTGTTTATCTCAAATTCAAGTGAGACTGGACGGCCTGCATTTTAGCGGGAGGGCCAACTGGCTGGGGCAATTCAATGAGGCTTCCTGGAGAAGGCGGTCTGGAGCTCTGCTGAATGTGGTTGAGAAGGAGGGGGAATCCCCACGGACGTGTGGGGGGGAACTAGCAGGGACAAAGATGGGTGACTGAGGGAGGGGGTGTGAACCAGCTAGATTGGATGTTTCTGAGCAGTGTGGGGACTGGAGGATGCTGGGGAGGTGGGAGTGTTAGGCTGGTAAAAAGCCAAGCCAGCAGGGGTGGTCTGTGTATGGCAGGTGTCCAAACCTGTTGGTTCCATCTGAGATGAGGCCTGGCAGGATGGTAGGATGGGCACAACCCTCTGAGTACCACCTGTGCTCCTACTCCCATGCTGCAGGGACCCTGTCCCTCCTGGTGATCCTGCCCCTCCCTCAGTTAAGGACCCTGTCCCTCATGGTGACCCTGCCCCTCTATCAGTTAAGGACCCTGTCCCTCATGGTGATCCTGCCCCTCCCTCAGTTAAGGACCCTGTCCCTCATCGTGACCCTGCCCCTCCCTCAGTTGAGGGTCCTGTCTGTGCTGTTCCTGGCTCTCCCCCAAGGTTCTCAGGGCCACCCCTCCTCACTCCTTGAACTGAGGGGTCTCTCATACACCCTCCAGCCCCAGACCAAGGCACCAGGTATGTGGGGACATTAGGCCGGACGCCCACTCCGACTCCTTTCTTTGCAGTGTTAGCACATCTGTAAGTTTTTCTGAAAAAGTGTATTTTACCCTTTGGAGGCTTTTCGCTCCATCAAAGGGGTATTGAGCTACAAGTAAACATCTGGAACTTACACTTTTGAAAAATGTTTCGTTTAGAAGTAATTTCAGATTCACAGGGAGCCCGCAGACCTACCCAGCTCCTCACCCCACCTGTTGGGTCTAAGGGAAGAGGTTGGCATTGGGGTGACCCCTTCAACGGATCCACAGCGTTTCATAGAATCCCCAGATTCCCCATTGACAGCTGCCAGGACCCCACAGAGCCTACAGTTGTTGGGTCTCTCTGTCCACCCCTCCCCCTGTCCTTCAACAGTTCCTGTATCGTCCTTATCTTCGGTGACACGCTGAGGACGGCTGGTGGGTTCTTCTTGGAAGAACCTACGTTTGGTTCTGTCTAATGTTTTCCTCCTGGTCAAGGCAGGTGCTGAAGGTTTGGGAGGAATCCTAGAGCCGAGGCGCCTTCCCTTCGCCTCCGTCCCTGGTGACGTTGGCCCCCATCACTTGGTCCAGTGGAGCCAGCAGGTTGTGCCTCTGGAAACTGGTTCTTGGGACCAAGCCACAGTTGAGCCCCAAGGAGGGGATGGGGCGTGCGGAAGGATTTGTGGGTCCTCGGTAGATCCACTCTGGGGAACGATCACCAAGGGGGGAGTGTGTGTGTGTGTGTGTGTGTGTGTGGCTTGTGGGTCCGCCCCTGTCGGGGACCTGCGCTGACTTGTACGGTCGCCCGCGGGACTCTTATTAAACTTGGCGCCTGTTGGCGGAGGGTGCGCACTGAAGGGACACTTCGTCTTTTCACCCAATCTCCAGCCCCTGGGAATGCGGGCTATTGCGGTCTCTTGAGCAGGGCCCAGGGAATACAGGGGTTCCAGGCTAGAGACCACGCCCTGCGATCATCAAGCTCATTCACAAACGTTTTCTGTCCCCCCCAAAGTCGGCGACATCCTCCCAATGCTTGGCGCGGCAGGCGACAGGATGGGCAGCGGGCTCCTTGTCCTCACTTCAGTCTTGGTCACAGAGGAGGACGCTGTCCTCATCACTGTGGACCGGTCTGCGTCCTCCGCGTCTGTAAATCCGGCTCTTTGTCTTCTCTAGAGGACGGACGCGGATACTGGGCGTGTATCTCAGATGTTGCCCCCGTAGGTTTTAATGTTGTCACCCCAGTCACCTTCGTGTGACCACCCTGCTGTTGACCTCATGGCACCCACCTCTGCCTGGAACGCCCTGTGTTTGTTGACTCGGTTTCCCCAGGTGGCCCTCCCCCAGCTTTGGGGAGGGGGGCGCTTCTGCAGGAAGGAACAGTTCTGCCCTCCATCCACACGGCTCCCCCACCCCCAGAGTGAAGACAGCCAGGCAGCCTCGGAGGAGGACAGCATCCCGCTGATAGACGTTCACAGCTGGGCGAACCGGACCTGGCCCGCCGCGCCCAATGCCAACCACTCTTCCGGGGTCCTTACATCGACCCTTGACCTCAGCCCCTCCCTCCTGTCGGCCTCCCCGGGGCCTGCTCCTAGATCCCAGCAGACTGAAGTCTGGGGGCCCTGGGACTATGTCTTGGTGGCTAACCTTAACCAGAATCCCAAACAGTGTCGTCGTCAGCAGCAGTTCCTGGAGGAGTTACAGAGAAAGGGCTTTCAGTATAAGGTGGGCTGCCTGAGGACACGGGGAGGAAGGGGTCAGGGAGGGAGGGGTGTGGAGGGCTCCATGACCTTGTACCTGGATGGACTGGCAGCTGGGGATGCAGGGAGGGAGGGTCCCAAGGTAAGTCTAGGGTCTTCCATGGCCCCCTGCCCCCAGGAGATGCAGGACCAGCACAAGAAGTACTTTGGGGTCCGAGCCAAGACTGAACTCTTCCTCCAGTACTGCAGACTTCTCATGGAACCCGAGGGGCCTGCGCCCGAGGCCCTGTCACTTGATGAGGACCCCACCCTAGACACTACACGGTGAGGGGCACCTCCGGCCTACTCCGTGCCTGCTGGTGGTCTCAGGGTAGAAGGCCAGACCCCACCCTATACAGTCCCATCTCCAGGGGTAGGTCTGCAGGTCCAATATGATGAGGTTCCTTCAAGGCTGGGCAGGATTTAAGGGACTGAGAGACCCCTCCCATAGCCGTCCCTCCCATAGCCGTCCCTCCTGCTGGGGTTCAGCCCTGGACACAGGACTCCACAGGTGGGCGCTGTGTGGTTGGAAGTCAGGGAGAGAGCTGAGATAATGTCAGACCTCATTTGGGGACCACAGGACAGGACAGGGCTGGACCAGGGAAGGCTGGATGGGGGCTCTGAGATGAGTCCTGGTTTCTGGGTACTGGTCCAAGTAGGGGTCCAGGGCAGGTCAGAAAGCAGGGCTGGGCAGGTGGAGGCTCCCATCAGGACTGGGAGGGTACTTGGAACCGGGAGGGTGGTGCCCACCAGGGGGCCTAAGCCAGGAACTCCTGTGTTTCAGAATCCGCATCATCAACACCTTCATCCAGAACACCAGAACAGAAGACAGGGGTGAGAAGGGGGCTCAGTGACTGTGGCTGCCTCTTGGAGCAGGAGAATTAGAGGGTCTCTGTTCTGACGCACCAACTCTCTGCAATCCCCAGAGAAATTCGAGGACTTAAAGAAGGACAAGGTCTTTGAAACCGGCTTTTTCCTGCACTCGTTGATGGCTGAGCCCCAGGAGGTGCCTGGGGTGAAACCAGAAGGAACTGATAAGAAACTGAGGGAATGGGCACAGTGGAGAAATATGTTCTGTAAGCAGCCGATTGATGATATCAGGTAAACTGTCCCCCTAGAACATCTGTGTCCCACAGATAAATCTCTGCCCCCACAGTTATACAAGTGTGACCCACAGACACACATGTGCCCCATAGATACACACCTGTGCCTCCATAGACACATGTGCCTCCATAGACACACATGCCCCGTAGATACACACCTGTGCCTCCATAGACACATGTGCCTCCATAGACACACATGCCCCGTAGATACACACCTGTGCCCCCACCACACACACCTGTGCTTCCATTTAGACACACTTCTGCCTTTAGTGAATCCATTCCCTGGCCCCTCACGTGTAGACATGTCTCTACCCCTGGTCTTATTCCCTCCCCCTTGGTGGGCACCCTTACTGACAGGAGTTGTGTTGTAGGAACTATTTTGGCGAGAAGGTGGCGCTGTACTTCGCCTGGCTTGGCTGGTATACCTGTATGCTGATGATTGCAGCTGCAGTGGGCCTCCTGATTTTCCTGAGCGGCTTTGCCCACTTTAATGCCAGTCAAATCAGGTAGGCTGGAACTGGAGGCTAAGGGGTCTTAGGTCTGGGGCTGAGCCAGAGACTGGGAGCAGGGGGTCAAAGGAGTCAGTGGCTGGAGGCAAAGGGTCAAGAGTTTCGAGAGTATGGGGGGGGCTTTGTGAGAATGCCTGGCCCCAACCCACCCTTGCACCCCACCAGCAAGGAGATCTGTGAGGCCCACGACATCTTCTTGTGTCCTCGAGGAGACAACAAACAGAGCCAGCGGCTTTCAGACACCTGCACCTATGCCAAGGTTGGCCATCCATTAACAGAGGCGGAAACCAAGGCAGGGATCCCACCCGGGCTGTGGTGGGTGGGGAAAGCTGCCCAGCCCACTGATCCCTTCCCCCCAGCTCACGCACCTCTTCGACAACGAGGGCACGGTGGTGTTTGCCATCTTCATGGCTTTGTGGGGTGAGTCACTGCCATCCCTTGGGGCCCCTGGGAGAAATGGGATCCCTGCCCATCCTCGCTCCAAGCCTCCTCCTGCCCGACTGCCTGGACCGCTGCCCCCAGACCCACACTGGGACAATCATGATACCCTTCCTTGTCCCCTGACGGCAGCCACTGTGTTCCTGGAGGTCTGGAAACGGAAGCGCTCCCATGTGGTCCAAAACTGGCACCTGTGTGGCTGGGATGAGGATGAGGTGAGAAGGGGGGTCTCTTGGGCTGTGTCCCAGGACAGTACCCCATACCAGCACCTGTGTCTGCACGTCCGAGGTGTGTGCAGTGTTTCAGGAGTGTGTACTTTGTTTGAAACGTGTGTGGTGTGGTGTATGAAGCGTGGATGTCTTCTTGTGTGTGCCCTGTGTACCATGTCTGAGGTATGTGTTCTGGTGGGTGCCAGGGGTGGACCCCATGTGCTGCATCTGAGACATGGGTGCTGTTTGTATCTCATCTGGGGTGTAGGTGTCTTGCATGTGCCTCGTGTGCCAAGTCCCAGGTGTGGGTACCGTGTGTGTCTTGTGTGTGTCCCATGTGAGGTGTGGATGCCGTGTGTGTGTGTGTGCCATGTGAGGCGTGGGTGCCGTGTGTGTGTCCCATCTGAGGTGTGTGCACCCCGTGTGTGCCAAGTCTGAGGCATACCTGGACCTGGTGCCCCCTCAGGAGGAGATGATGCTGGAACTGATGAACTACCCCCAGTACCAGCCCAAGTGGCATGAACATTCGTACCTGCGCAGCGCAATCATCCTCCTTCTGTCTCTGTTCATGGTAGCCCGGGACCTGGGTGGTGGTAGCTCCCTCCTCAGTGCCCCTTCCTGCCCCAGACTGTCTCCCACCCCGCCCCTGCTGCATGTCCTGCCGTCTGCCCGTCTCCCTCAGCTCCCTGCAGCCCCCTGCCTCCCTGCTCTCCCAGATCTGCCTCATGATTGGCATGGCCCACGTCCTGGTGGTCTACCGTGTCCTAGCAGCTGCCCTCTTCAAGTCCTGGGTCTTGTCCTTCATGGAGCACCAGGTGACCACGGTTGTGGTGGTCTCGGGGGCCCTCGTGCATTACGTGACCATAGTGATCATGACCAAGGTATGTGTGTGTGTGTGTGTGTTGGGAAACTGAGGGAGGGACAGACGAGGGGGTTCTGTCCAGGTCCTGGCTGAGTCCTGCCCTCTGCCCCCACAGATCAACAGGCGGGTGGCTCTGATGCTGTGTGACTACGGTAAGAGGGACCCTCAGTGCCCTCCCTGGAGGATGCCGGGGCTACAGGCCTGGGGCTGTGATCCTAGCTGGGGGAGGGGCTCGCCTTTCCTGTTGTCCCCATTTCCTTCTTGGTCGCTTGCTTCCACCCGAGAAGCATGCTGGGCTGAGGGTCACAAGAGTCCCCAGTGGCAGACAGGACAGTCCCCCGGGGTAAGGACCAGCCTGTGTGTGCCTTCCAGAGAAGCCTCGGACCTTCTCAGAGCGAGAGAGCAAGTTCACTGTCAAGTTCTTCACGCTCCAGTTTTTCGCTCATTTCTCCTCCCTCTTCTACGTCGCCTTCATCCTGGGCAGGTAGGGCAACGCGGAGGTCAGACTCTCCCTCCCCTCTAACAGGCGTCCCCTCCAACTATGGAAACACCTGTACTTTTAATTTTGAAATTAATTCACTCTCAGCACAGGTACAATATAGAAGTGTGATCCTCCACTTCTCCAAACCTTCAGAGGTAACACGGATAACACTTTGTGGTCTTTCCAGACTTTTCTAAGCATTCGTGCACACATACCTTACTGATCCAAATGGCTTTGTCCCATAAATTGTTACTGTTGTTAGGTGTCATCGAGTCAGTTCAAACTCCTAGTAAACCTGTATAGAGTTTCCAAGGCTATAAATCTTCACGGGAGCAAAAAGTCTCATCTCTCTCCCTAGGAGTGGCTGGTGGGTTCGAACACTTGACCTTGAGGTTCTCAGTCCAGCGCTTATCCTATGGTGCTAGCAGGCCTCCCACTCTTCTCCATGTTGTTGTTGTTAAGTGCTATCGAGTTGGTTCTGACTCATAACGACCCTGTACACGGTTTCCAAGGAGCGGCTGGTGAGTTTGAACAGTTGACCTTTCAGTGCTGATCCTGTGAGGTCACCTCAGGACTCCACTCTTCTCCACAGCTTCCCACAAGTCCTGAATTCCTTATGTGTAGTGTTTCCTCCATAAGTAACTACCTGCTTTTTACACAGAATGTGTTGAAGCCATCTCCCATGTCTGCATGGGGTATGACATCTTGTTTTTAAAACCATGGTGTCAGCCCCAGGAAGGGGGCTCACCTCACCACGCAGCGTTGTGGAAGTGTGGGTTATTTCCCCTTGTGACCGCTATGCACACTCACACTCTCTCACACACATAGCCATGATTTCCTTTAGATGTAGTTTCAAAATTTTTATCTTATTTTTAAAAGTGAACTGATTTTTAAGTTGTCATTTTGGGTGAAGGTTTGCAGAGTAAATTTGTTTTCCATCCAACAATGCATCACAAATTTTGTCTTGTGACATTGGTTTTAATCCCTTCATATCATTTTCTCCCTGGTCTCTGCTTCTGCTCATCCTTCTTTCCTGCCTGCCTTCCGAGCTTTTTCTTTGGAAGAATGCCCTCCTTTTGGTCTTGTATGCTTGATTGAATTGAGGAGTGCATTCCTCCCTGGTTGTTACTCCCTATGTTGTTGTTGAGTGCCATTGAATTGACTCTGACTCATAGCAACCTTGGATAGGGTTTCTGAGGAGCGGCTGGTGAGCTTGAACCATCGACCTTGCTGTTCAAACCATCATTGCAGTCCAGTGTATTAAACTGCAGCACCATACTAGGACTCTTAATAGGTCTTTAAGGTAAAGAAAACAACATGTAATGAAAACAAAAATACTCACCACTGGACCAATAAGCAACATCAAGACATAGGGAGAAAAGATTGAAGTTGTCCAAGACTTCATTTTGCTTGGATCCATGGAAGCTGCAGTCAAGTAATCAAACGACATTTTGCACTAGGTGAATTTGCTGCACAAGAAGACCTCTTTAAAGTATTCAAAGCAAAGAAGTCAGTTTGAGGACTAAGGTGTGTCTGACCAAGCCATGGTATTTTTAATAGCCTCACATACATGTGAAAGTTGGACAGTGAATAAGGAAGACCATAGAAGAATTGATGTACTTGAGTTTTGGTGTTGGAGAAGAACATTACAAGTACCAGGGACTGCCCGAAGAACAAACCAATCTGTGTTGGGAGAAGTACAGCCAGAATGTCCCTTAGAAACCAAGATGACCAGGCTTTTTCTCTCATACTTTGGATATATTATCAAGATGGAGCAGTTTAGAGGAACTGAAGATACCTTTTTTTTTTTTTTTTCAAATTTCTCCAGTCATTTTAGTATTTATTTATTACTTAAAAAAAGTTTTATTGTGAATTATGTGATAGTTTACATGGGTACATGGGAGAACATTAGTTTTACATTCATCCTATCGTATATTGTTTCATTGCCATGGTTACAATCCCCTTCACGCATTACCAATCAATGAAAGGGTACATTCTACAAGCCTGCTCCCGCCACCACCCAGTCATCAGCACACAGGCCCTTTCCCTCCCTGGGTCCTGAGTCCTCAGCTGCTCCATCTCTCCACATCAACACAGAAGATACTTCTTGAAAGAAAGACCAGCAGGAAAAATCCAAAACAAAAATGGCAGTCTGATTGGCTACTACATGAATAAGCAAGTTGTTCTCTGGGAAGCCATCAAGGCAAGCAATCAAGTTCCTTCAGGACAAACCCCACTCTAAGACTGAAACTCAAAGGGAACACATGAGCAGGCATGTAAGCTTGCCTTGGCAACCACATTGGTCTACTGTGGGGGAAAGGCAGCAGTGAAGAAATGGGCTCAATTCAACCACATTCCACAGACTCCTGTCGACCTGGAGATGAGAGAGAGAAGAGGAAGGGCTGGTTTGTCTGAAGTGTGGTGAGACCTGGAGACTCCTGAGCCCATGGACAAGGACATAGCCACAGAGGGCTAGAGCTGAGAGTGGAGCATCCAGCTGATATGAAGTGAGGGGAGGTTCACAAGAACACCCCGACTTGCAGATAGTACCCATTTGACCTAACTTCAATGGCTTGATGATCAGAACTCGACTAGAAGATAAAATATATATATTTTTTTGGATAAAGGAGATAAATGTAAATGGCTACAATTTGATGAACTTGACCTATGCTTATGGATGTAGTAGCTCAAAATACCAACAGAGAGAGAAGGAGTCTTCACATCAAGTATCAATCCTATCCCCTTGGTATACAGGGTTGATAGAGATGGGCAACTTAGACATTGGCTACCTAAAATGAGGGTGTGATAAAGGCACGAAGAGAGTGGCTTACAAGTTTTCAAGAGGGAGTTAGTTTCAGAGTATGTGGAGGAAGGCAGAATCCCCACTGAAGAGTTCTTGTTTTATCTAGATGGGTCTGGTGAAAGCAGATGGGGATAAAATATTTATGATTCAATAATGAATAATTGTTATCATGAGTAATTGCGATGGTCACAATTGTAAAGGCAGAGTTTTGTAACAAAAAGTGGAGAGTGGTTAATCTTACCGTCCAGGAACAGAGGACTCTGGGACCATCAAGGGAGAAGAGCATGAACGGAATGTGGGACCCTATCCAGAGAAGCAGTACACCAGAGATGGAGGCAGAGATGAGCACATGGAGAGATAGAGCAGCTGAGGACTCTGGACTCATGGAAAGAGAAAGGCTGGGTGCTGGCGGCCAGGAGGCAGGCTTACAGAATGTGCCCTTTGGTGGTTTAAATGATTATATGTTCCTGAGTGTTTTTATGTACATGCTCCCCCCCCCCAAAAAAAAAAAAAAAAAAAAAAACAACCGAGGGAATAGAAGCAAATAGTGTTGAATGATGATGCACGGAGGAGATTGTAATCATTGCAGTGAAACAATGAGTGTAAAACCCATGTTCTCCCATGTAAACGATCACTCAGTTGACAATTAGAACTTAAAAAAACAAAAAAAGAGGGACCAGTTCCTGGAGAAGGACATCATGCTTGGTAAAGTGGAGGGTCATCAGAAAAGATCGAGACCCCCAACGAGATGGATTGACATGGTGGCAGCAGCAGCAGCGGGCTCAAGCATAGCAACAGTTGTGAGGATGGTACAGGAGCCGCGGTGTTTCCTTCTGTGTGCGTAGGTTTCTATGAGTTGGAACTGACTTGATGATACCTAACAATATGACTTCAAATTTTTAACCGTTCGAATCTTTGGTTCATAAGGAATTTGTTTTGTTGCAGGGGGCAGGGAGGCATTTGTTTTATTATATTTCAAAGGGAAGATCATCCTCCCCAAAGCAGTTATTGACTAATTTACCCCTCCCCTTCGTTTGAAATGGATTCTTTGCCTATTAAATTCCAACGTCCATTCATGTATTTCAGCTTTTTCACAAATGCTAATTTCAGGGCTGGCAAATTGTTATGTGAATTATTATTGCTGTGAAATAGCGCTAGCTTCATTAAGGAGCCCTGTACTGTAGTGCTTACGTGCTCAGCTGCTAACCGAAAACTCTGAGCTTCAAACCCACCGACTCTTTCGGAGCAAGCTGAGGCAGTCTGCGTCCATGAAGCCTGACAGACATGGAGACCCCATGGGGCAGTTCTCTTCTAGCTATAGGATTGTTATGAGTTAGAATGGACTCAATGGCACGTCATAAGTATTTATTACCCTTTTCATACAGTTTTTCTATTTTTAATGATGATTTACGCTTATTAATTCTAAGTAAGGAACCCTGACTGTGCCATAGCTAAGCACTCCAACTGCTAACTGAAACGTCAGGGGTTCGAACTCACTTGCCTTTCTGTGGGAGAAAGATGTTGCAGTCTGCTTCTGTAAACATTTACAGTCTTGGAAACCCTATGGGCACTTCTAATCTGTCCTGTAGGGTTGGTTATACGAGACAGAATCGACTTAGCAGCACTAGGGTTGATTTTTGGTGTATTCTTCTAAATGGGCTTCAGAATAATTTTGTCCAGCTACCCTCAAATTCTCTGGAATTTAGAGTAAGATTGCAATAAAAGTACTTGTTATTTGAGGGAGAATTGGCCTGGGTAATACAGATTTTTCATTCTAGAAGTCAGAGGTCCAAAACGAGTCCCACTGGGCTACACTCGACTGTCATAGGCCTGCTTTCGTCGTGGAGGCTTTCGGGGAGATTCTTTTCCCCGCCTTTCCTGGTTCCCAGGGGTCACTCGCGTGCCTTGCCTCATGGCCCCTTCCTCCATCTCCAGTGTCAGCTATAGCTACTAGGGGGCTTCAAAACATTTGTGGAAAAATGGAACGAGTAGACAAAGGAGTTTTTGTATGAGCTTTTTAAAGCCCCTTTGTATGTTGGGCTGAGCCCATCTCACACTTGTGATGGTACTGAATTGCCAGTGATTGTCTCCCCCTTCTCAAGGTCAGCTGATGAGTAGCCTTTACCTTCATCCCGTCTGCATCCTGTAGCCTTTGCTATGTAGAGTCACAAATGCACAGATTCCAGGGATAAGGACACGGGCATCTTTAAACCAAAAACCAAACACATTGCCTTGGAGTCGATTTTGACTCATAGCGACCCTATATACTGTTTCTGAGACTGTAAATCTTCACAAGGGCAGACAGCATCACTTACTCCTCAGAGGGGCTGGTGGGTTTGAACAGCTGACCTTGTGGTTAGCAGTCCAATGCCTAACCTACATAAAATGTCACCATTATTCTGCCAGCCAGAGATACAATCCTGTGAATGAAATTCCTCTGTTCAAGTCTTCTTTTATGGTCTGTTAGGAGCTCTGGTAGCGTAGTGGTTACGAATCGGGCTGTGAACCTTACAGTCAGCAGTTCGAAACTACCAGCTGCTCCGTGGGAGAAAGATGAGGCTTTCTGCTCCCGTAAAGATTTACAGCCTTGGAAACCCTGTACAGGGTCGCCATGAGTCAGAACCAACTCCATGGCACATAACAATAAAAGTAGCTTTTTAGTTTTCTTTGTACACTTCCTGGAAATCTTTCTTGATTTTTTAAAATGTAGTTGTCATTGTTGTTATTGTCTGGGACTGAGATCTTTCCTCAGTAGTCTCTGTTGCTCACCAGAAATTGAGTTTTACTTAATACCAACTTTGTATCCACCGTCAGCTGTGTTATTTTGTTTTTCCAGGTATATTATCATATTTCCTAAACTGATAAGGAGCCTGGGAGTGTAGTGAATTACCAGTCACTCCTCTGGAGAAAGATGAGGGTTTCTGCTTCTGTAAAAACGGGCAGCCGTAGCAACTCTATACAGGGTCGCTGTGAGTCAGAACTGACTCGGTGACATACAACCACCCCCGTCACCTGGTAGTACGGTGGGTTACAAGTTGGGCTGCTAATCACAAGGTCAGCAGTCTGAATCTACCAGCTGTTCCGCGGAAGAAAGATGAGGCTTTCTGCTCCTGTAAAGACTGATAACCTCGGAAACCCTATATACAGGGTTGCTGTGGGTTGGAACCGACTTCACAGCACATGGAACTGAGTCCACCACCAACACCCCTTAGAATAATCCTTTTTCCTTTGCTACTTTGGAGTCCTTTGCTACTTTGGTGCTGTAAGGTTAGCACTGGACTGTTAGCCATAAAGTTGGTGGTTCAAACCCACCACTTGCTCCTTGGGAATCCTATGCAGGGTCGCTATGTATCAGAATTAACTCAATGGCTCTTAACAACATTGTTAAGTGCCGTCAAGTTGGTTCCAACCCATAGTGACCCCGTATAGGGTTTCTGAGGAGCAGCTGGTGAATTTGAACCGCCGACCTTGCAGTTCAAACGGCTTTGCAGTTTGGAGCATTAACCCACAGCACCACACCAGGACTCCCATGTTCCATTTGGTTGGTTGGTTGGTTGGTTATGTGCCGTGGGTGGAGCTGGTTCTGACTCATAGTGACCAGGGTTTCCGAGGCTGTAAATCTGTACGGGAGCAGAAAGCCTCATCTTTCTCTTGCAGAACAGCTGGTAGTTTTGAACTGGTGACCTTGCGGCTCGCAGCCTGATTCGTAACCACTACACTACCAGAGCTCCTCATGTTCCATGTTGTTGTTGTTAAGTGCCTTCGAGTCAGTTCCGACCCATAGCGACCCTGTACAGGGTTTCCGAGGGTGTAAATCCTTACGGGAGTAGAAAGCCTCATCTTTCTCCCGCGGAGCGGCTGGTAGTTTCGAACCGCTGACCTTAAGGTTCGCAGCCCGATTCGTAACCACTACGCTACCAGAGCTCCTCCTCATGTTCCATAGTAGCTGCTATAAGTGATGACAGGACGTGCTGGTGTGGTACGGGAGTGCTAACGGAAAGACTGGCGGTTCAAACCCACCAGCTGCTCCTTGGAAACCTTGTACAGGGTTACTGTGAGGTGGCGCCCACTGGACGGCACTTACCAATAACAACATGGGAAGCAGAAGGTTTTCAATAGGAGGGGACTTTAAAAGTTCATGGAAGAATGGAATCGAAAGAGAATGGAATTTTTCCATCAACTTTTGGAAGCCCCCTCACACAAAGTCTTGCCATGTGCAGGCTTCCATAGGGAGGCGCAGCTTTGCCCAGGTCCTGTGTCTGCGGGGCTCGGGGGTGAGGTGGGGGGCGGGGGAAGGGCTGAGGGTGCGTGTGTGTGAGCACGTGTGGAGTGTGTCTGCCCTGTCCTTGGTCCTCCCCTCCATTGTGTGGTGTCCTTGCTGTCCCCTCCCTGCCCACATCTCTCCCACACCTCCTTTTCTTTCCCAGGATCAATGGTCACCCTGGGAAGTCTGTACGTCTCGCGGGCTTGTGGAAGCTAGAGGAGGTCAGTCTGTCCTCGAGGCTTCACTGTGGGACCTCTACCCCAGGACTGTTTCAGTGCTGTGACCACAGTGATGAAGGGCTTTCGTGTGTGGAGACCCCGGCACCAGGGGGAGACTTGAGAGGGACGAGGGGGAGGGGGAGATAGAGCTTGAATCAAGGTGGGAGTTAAATGCAGCTGATGCCAGGGATGCATCCCACCTCCCTCAGAGTCCCTGACCGCCCCTCCTCCCGAGTCTCCCCCACCCTTCCCTGACCTCCCCCCTTCCTCCCTGACCCCCCCCATCCTCAGTGTCACCTCAGCGGCTGTATGATGGACCTGTCCCCTCTCTCCCTGACCCTTCCTGTCCCTCAGTGGTTGTATGATGGACCTGTCCCCTCTCCCTGTCCCTCAGTGTCACCTCAGCGGCT